TCTGCCTCTAAAATGGGAGTAGGGCATGGTTTCCAGTAGTTATGGTGGGTCTGCAATCAACTGGCTAGTTTTTACTCTTGGCTCCTCGGCTTTCTAACGTTTGCTTGTCTTAGTTACGCTATGTGGCATATCATAAACACTTGGCAAATATAATTACCATCACAGAGGGCTGTTGTGACTATCAAATACAATGATGTAATGAAATTCTTTATAAGCCATGAAGTAATGGAAAAAATGTAACATGTTTTTTTCTTAGTTATATTCTGGATTGAGGTATAGTTGTCTTACCACTATTAAAAAAAAAATTGATACTATCATTAACATTGATACCATCAGTAACATGTATAATAGGTGCTCAGTTTCACTGAGATGTATTACTTTATGAAAGCAATAAAAAGGCATTGTCTACTCTTCATGTCTATGCTGGCCCTGAAAGGTAATTTTATGTTTCCTTGGCTGTACAGACTGATTTCTGGACTAATGCAGTTGCTGAGATAACTCGTTGAGGGTCATGAAAATGAAAGTGGAGTGTTTCTTACTGTATATCTAGAGTGAGTACATGTTTGAACTCTCGTTGACTTGTAGGGCATTGGAGTGCTAAGGTCCATAGATTGAGTGATAGCATCTTGAAAAAAGGCACTTGCTTAGCTCTTCTGAATAACTAGTTTGGCGTATCTGCCTCTGATTATTTCACTACAAATAGGGAAAGAGAAGTAAGTGTTGGTCTACCTGCCTGTATAAGATGTAATCCATAATCCTTGCTCCATAGTATCCTGACAATCATAGGAAGTACTGCAGGGGTATCTTAACTTCGCAGAAGTAGAAACTTGATGGAAATTCTAAATAAGTTCGAGAAGTAATAATAGAGGAAAGAGCCTATCAGATAGGCTTTAATTCAAACTCCAGGTCTGTCACATACTGGTGATGTGATCATGGAAGGTTACCTCACCTCTTTCAGCCTGTTTCTCTTCTGTGGTGGTAATAATACCTTTCTTGCCAAGTTTGGTTTGGACTTGACATCATGTGTATATATTTCTTACTCTGTTCCTGGCAAAAACGTTTATTCCCTTCTATCTGTTTAGTTTTCTATTCATATTTCTATTTATTCATATTTGGATTAAAAATTTGCCTTCTCAATATGTTGTTGTTAGGTGCTGTCGAGTCAGTTCTGACTTGTAGCGATCCTGTGTACAACAGAACAAAACATTGCCCAGTCCTGCGCTATCCTCGCAATTGTTACTATGTTTGAACCCACTGTTGCAGCCACTGTGTCAGTCCATCTCGTTGAGGGTCTTCCGCTTTTTCACTGGCCCTCTACCAAGCATGGTATCCTTCTCCAGGGACTTCTCAATATAGGAAGGTGGCATTTTAGTGACGTAGTCCAACCATGCCATTTTATAGGTGGGAAAATTTAGATCTGGAGAAGCGAAGCGAACTGATCAAAGTGGCAGTACTGAGACTAGAATCCAGGTCTCCTAAATCCTGTGTTCTTTCTACTATATAGTTCTACCTTGTCTAAATTCTTATTGGGTAAGTCAAAGTCCAAGTTGTATTGCTTTGTGAATGTTGTATTAAGAGCACAGAGTTAGAAGTCAGCTTACCTGGCCTCACATCCCAGCTTTACCACTGATTTAGTTGTGTAGCTTTAGGTAAGTTATTTAATATTTCTAAGACTTTGTTTTTCAGTTGGATAACAGTAGGTTCTCTAGAGCAAGAAGTAGGAAAATGCGTGTAAAAGCACTAGTGCCTGGCATATGGTAAGTGATCGATAAATGGTAGATATGATGCTGAAATATGGCAGGATAATCATATTTATTCCTATAGAAAAGATCAACCTGGTGTCAGGAGATATTTCCAACTTTTCTAGTATCCCAAACGCAGGTATATGTAGCATATGACGAATTGAGAGCCCTCTTCATAACGATTGCAGTGAAGACTGAAATTTAAGATCTTAACTTCTAAATTAATTCTGATTAGTGTAATAACGTTTGAATCTGTGTTGTGTTTTGTTTTTTTTTAATGTCTCTTTCCTAGCCTCAGGAACTGTTCTCTTTTCTACCCACTTTGTTTGAGAAATTATGCCCTTTTTTCTCCCATTGTCATTTTTAGAAATTTCACTGGTCTCAACATCTTTTATCTCAATCTTTTCTAATTCTCTTCTTATATATACTTCTCTTATGCAAATGAACTTCTACAAAGAAACAGAATTTAATAGCCAAATATAGAAAATGTTTGCATGATTCATCCATTTGCCATCTAGTTGATTTCAACTCATGGCAAACCCACGTGTGTCAGAGTAGAACTGTGCTCCATAGGGTTTTCAGTCGTTTTTTGAAAGTACATTGCTAGGTCTTTCTTCCTAGGCCCTTCTGGGTGGACTCAAAACCTCCAACCTTTTGGTTAGCAGCGAGCCTGTTAATCATTGCATCTCCCAGGGACTCCTCCCTCTAGTGGATTTTCTATTTCGGTGGGACTTTAGAGTCACCTGGGGTGCTTATATGGATTCCCTGGGTTGTGCAAATGCTTAGGCATTTGGCTACTAACAGAAAGGTTCATGGCTCAAATCCACCCAGAGGCATCTTAGAATAAAGGCGCAGTAATCTATTTACGAAAGATCACAGCCATTGAAAATCCTATGATGTACAGTTCTATTATGATACACATAGGGTCCCCATAAGGCGAAATAGACTCAATAGCAACTGTATTTTTTTGTTTGTTTTGGTGTACTTACTGAAAGTGCATTTCTGATTTGCATAGATCTCTGGTGGAGCCTAGAAATCAGTGGTTTTGAACAAAACTCCAAGTGAGTCTCAGACAGTGGACCACACCTTACTTTGTGAAACACTGCTTTGGTCATCTCTAGTTTCTTGGAATGCTCTTGAAAAAGACAAATTTCTCTGCGACATGTCCCTGTGGAGTACATTTATTATTGGTTTTCATGATTGAGGGAAGTCCATGATTAAGCTTGTCTTTGAACATTTTTGTGTGTGTAACATTTGTTAAGTTTTAAAAGTTAGTTATTCTTGTCTAGTCTTGATAATTGTAGTCTTTGTTAATAACATGATGCTAGCACTTATTTTGTATAGAGTAAAAAAATGTGTTAAGTTAATTTAAATTATGGTAAATAAGATAGATATAGTATAGGGTACGTTTTCCCAGATGTTAAAGGATAAACCATAGCTTGGTCTAGTTTGTTAACTATAGTTAGGCTTTTTACCATTTATCCAGAAAGGCAAACTGCCTGGTCTGGAAATACTTCATCACAATCAGAGTGCGTAAAACTGAATCTTACTGTGAGACCGACTACTGCAGTAGTATTTCTCTGAAGAAATAATGTTGAGGAAAAATGCTTGCAGAAGCAGTAACACCAAACGCTACATACACATAGGCTACTTTGTTACTTTGCTAGTGGTTTCCTTTTCCTATAGTAATAGATACAGTGGGATATCTGGCTTGTATTTGGTACCTTCCTAGGATATACATTTGCTCTGCCCTTGCAACTTTATCTCTAGAAGGCTAGTTTGTACAGTGTAATATGATAAGCATCAATATTTCTGATATTAATGTGATTTGATATTTATTTTTGGAGAGATAGAAGTTAAAACTTTAATTTTCAGTTTACAACAAACTTAAATGACAGTTATTTTAAAAATTAATAAATTTTGGTGCCTATCTGTGATACTAGTAAATTTCCTTTTGGGTGTACGTTAATTTGTGGCTATTTCTCATATAAAATTTAGGACAGGTAAGTCATTTTCATGCTGCTTTCCAGTGCATTCCAAGTCATATTTATATACTACAGAATAAACATATAGTTGTTTTAGTCATCTAGTGCTGCTTTAACAGAAATACCACAATGGGTGGCTTTAAGTCACGTTTATATACTACAGAAGAAATATATAGTTGTCTTAGTCATCTAGTGCTGCTCTAACAGAAATACCACAAGTGAATGGCTTTAACAAAGAGAAATTTATTTTCTCTCTAGTAGGCTAGAAGTCCAAATTCAGGATGTCACCTCCAGGGGAAGGCTTTGTCTGTCTGTTGGCTCTGGAGAAAGGTCCTTGTCATCTGTCTTCCCTTGGTCTGGGAGCATCTCAGCACAGGAACCTCAGGTCCAAAGGACACGCTGTGCTCCCGGTGCTGCTTTCTTGGTGGTTTGAGGTCCCCAACTCTCTGCTTGCTTCCCTTTCATTTTATCTCTTGTAAGATAAAAGGTGGTGCAGGCCACGCCCCAGGGAAACTCCCTTTACATTGGATCAGGAATGTGACCTGGGTACCGGTGGTGTTATAATCCCACCCTAATCCTCTTTACCATAAAATTACAGCTGCAAAATGGAGGACAACCACACAATACTGGGAATCATGGCCCAGCCAAACTGATAAAACATTTTTTGGGGGACATAATTCAATCCATGACAGTAGAATAATGGTTTAAAACTAAAGGTGCTTCTTTTATGCAAATTATTTATTTATTTTTTAAATTAGAGGGTGACCAACATATGCAATTTTGGGGCACTTTATAAATAAAAAATGTAACAGATACATATAAAATAAGGCAGTCTGACTATTCATTTTGTTCTAAAAATGAGTATTTTGACCAGTTATTGTATAAAATGTGACATTGTTATATCAATATACCCCATTCCCTCTAAGGTACTTGTAAACCTCAGGGTTTCTAGTTTTGTAGTTCTTGATTAAAGTGTGTAAAAGATTGATTAAAGAAGGAAAAACAGTAGTTCAGGCTCTGAAACCCGTGTGCTTGTGCTACATACTAATTATCTCATCCTGACTAAGCTTCATGACCTTTCCTGGGTCCCAGTTTGCTCATCTGTGAAATGGGTTTAATAAGATTTTCTACCTCATAAGATTGTCATGAGAATTAAGTAAGCTATTTGTAAAACTCTTGGCACAATGCTAAGCAGTTCATTTGGTTGTGGATTTTTTTTTTTTTTTTTTTTAATATACAATCATTATGTAAGTATTCTTCACGCTCTAATCACATCCAGGTCTGTCTTGTAAAATGCTGTAGAATGAGGACCAAAACATATAGTCTCTTTACTATAAAAGGATATCTCATTGTGTTTCTATCCTGTCTTTCCAATTCATCTCCTACTACTCCCTTTCTCTACCCTTCTCCCCATACTCTTTCAGGCCTTTGATCTTCATTTGTTCACGCTGTTGTAAAGGTATAATTACAGTAACCACCTTTTCACTTAAGAGTATAAGATTTAAGAGTCATTCTATTTTTGTGATATCTTCTTTGAATATAACTGCCCCATCCTCATAGCATTCTGTATTGTTTTCTAATATATTATTCACCTCTATGATATAATAATTATTTTTCTGCACATTTTTCTCCCACTCTAGGTTTTCCTTGCTGAGTGAAATGATTGTTTCATAATAAAAACGAATGAATAGGAAATCACAGAGCTGAGCTAGTTAGAAAGAACTTCATGTAAAGCTAAAGCACATAGGCTTTGATCCATAGAGCAAAGTACACAAACTTTAGGACATCTATTTTGACTGTAAGGTGCCCTGGCGGTACAGTGGTTAAAGCACTTGGCTGCCAACAGAAAGGTCAGCGTTTCAAACCTGCCAGCAGCACCACAGGAGAAAGCACCTGGCGATCTATTCTGGTAAAGATTACAACCTAGGATGTCCTATGGCGCAGTTTACTCTTGTCATAAAAGGTTGCTCTGAGTTGGAATCAACTTGACAGCACACATCAACAACATTTTGACTGTAGATGATGAGAAATGATTTTTGTTTTAACAAGGATTTTATGCTTATATCTTGTCTTCTGTCTGTTTTTAGGAAAAAAATAATGCAAGTTGAGTAAATCCTTCTCATTTTGTTGAGTATTAAGATACTGTATCTCAGATGTCTAATATGGTGTTAAAACAAAAATCATATTAAGCCAATAATAGAAATTGATTGAAGTTTTTTGATGCATATGATTTGCAAATCAGGATGATATTTTGACTAGAGGGTCAAAAATGTTCCGAAGATGAGAAGAACTTCCAGAACTCTTATACCACATCTTATCAGCCTTGTCATGGAAATGGGAGGCCAGAACAGTGTTTTTATGATAACAATTTATCCTAAAACACAGGTTCCAGTCAGACCCTGGAGTTACGTTTCTTGAAACTGACTATATATAGATAATTCTCCAAAAGAGCCCACTGCCTAAGGCAGAACGGTCTCTGCTAAGCTGCTTACTAGGCTATTGTTTGACTTATAGGTGACTGAAAACCAGTATCTTCAAGGCTCAAGGTTCAAAGGACACCTAAGGACAAATTGCCTGGGTGGGTCACCCCAACTCCGTGGACCCCAGAAATCTGGATTCCAAGAGAATTAAAACAGTTTCTCAATGGGCACAATTTTACTTCCCCTTAAACTAGACCTCATCCTACTTCTTAATTAGTCATCTACTTGTACTTTAAAAATATGTGTGTGTGAGAGATTCTTATATGGAGATATATATGCGTACGTGCAGGTTGCAGTAAGGGAATACGCCATACTTTAAGATGAGAGTTTTGACTAGCAGCATCATGTTTGGGATGATGTTTGCAATTTTGGAATAGAGTTGAATCCAGGGAGGGAAAAGTAAACCCCTTTAGAGGAAGAACATTTAAAACTCTTTCTCCATGATTAGGACAAAGTACACCTTGCACCAGAAGCAGCAGAAGTTAACTATGGTTGTGAAGATCTGCTACTTTGGGGATATTCTTTAGATAACATGGTTCATTCTTGTTCTTTCTAAGAGAGATTCTAACTTCGTTAGGTGCTGTTGAGTTGATTCTAACTCATAGTGACCATGTCTACTACAGAATGAAACACCACCTGGTCTTACACCATCCTCACAATCATTGTTATGCTTGAGCCCATTGTTGGCAGCCACTGTGTCATCCATCTCCTTGAGGGTCTTCCTCATTTTCACTGACCCTCTACCCAGCATGATGTCCTTCTCCAGGAACTGATCCCTCCTGATAAGATGTCCAAAGTACGTGAGACGTGGTTTCACCATTCTTGTCTCCAAGGAGCACTCTGGTTGTACTTCTTCCAAGACCGATTAGTTCATTGTTTTGGCAGTCCATGGTATATTTAATACTCTTCACCAACACCACAATTCAAAGCCATCAGTTCTTTGGCCTTCCTTTTTCATCATCCAGCTTTCACATGCATATGAGGCGATTGAAAACACCATGGCTTGGGTCAGGTGCACTCTGGTCTTCAAGGTGGCATCTTTGCTTTTCAACACTTTAAAGAGACCTTTTGCAACATATGTGCCCAGTGCAATGCGTCTTGATTTCTTGACTGCTGCTTCCATGGGTGTTGATTGTGGATCCAAGTAGAATGAATCCTTGACAACTTCAGTCTTTTCTCCGTTTATCATTATGTTGTTTATTGGTTCAGTTGTGAGGATTTTTGTTTTATGTTGAGGTGTAATCCATACAGAAGGCTTTGGTCTTTGATCTTCGTCAGTAAGTGTTTCAAGTCCTCTTCACTTTTAGCAAGCAAGGTTGTGTCATCTGCGTAATGCAGGTTGTTAATGAATCTTCCTCTTACCCTGATTCCCCATTCTTCATATAGTCCAGCTTCTCGGATTATTTGCCTAGCATACAGATTGAATAGGTATGGTGAAAGGATACAACCCTGATGCACACCTTTCCTGACTTTAAACCACACAATATCCCCTTCTGTTTGAACAACTGCCTCTTGATGTATGTACAGGTTCCTCATGAACACAATTAAGTGTTGTGGAATTCCCATTCTTCTCAATGTTATCTATAATTTGTTATGATCCACACAGTCGAATGTCTTTGCATAGTCAATGAAACACAGGTAAACATCTTTTTGGTATTCTCTGCTTTCAGTCAGGACCATCTGACATCAACAGTGATATCCCTCATTCCATGTCCTCTTCTGAATCCAGCTTGAATTTCTGGTAGCTCTCTCTCGATGTACTCCTACAGCTGCTTTTGAATGATCTTCAGCAAAATTTTACTTGTGTGCGATATTAATGGTATTGTTTGATAATTTCCGCATTCAGTTGGATCACCTTTCTTGGGAATAGGCATAAATGTGAACCTCTTCCAGTTGGTTGGCCAGGCAGTTGTCTTCCAAATTTCTTGGCATAGACGAGTGAGCACTCCAGCACTGCATCCATTTGTTGAAACATCTCAGTTGATATTCCAACAATTCCTGGAGCCTTGTTTTTCGCCAGTGCCTTCAGTGCAGCTTGGACTTCTTCCTTCATTACCATCGGTTCCTGATCATGTGCTACCTCCTGAAATGGTTGAATGTCGACCAATTCTAACTTAAGAGTAGGAGTTATCCTATATAGTAGAAATTTTTTAATCTGTGTTGGTAAAGATTGATTGGTTTACAAGTTTCACCTGCCCAAACTTGTAATGTATGCAGATTTGTTTTTGCCTATTTTCCTTATAATCCTAGATATAACTAGACACTCCACATTCACAAATGACTACACACTCCAAATTCTGACTTTTGTTGAGAGCAGTTGGATGCTTTCAGTTATAAAATCAGAAAGGCTTTACGATTGTGATAGAAGATCAGACTCAGAAAAATAGACAAAGGGTTTCATTGCTATTCATCTGCCTGAAATAAAGCAAAACAAATTGTATAGGCATTAATTTACACAGGAAAAAAGATCAGTAGTTTCAGAAAAAAGCAAGTATATTGAAACGTGGATTCTGTAGTTAAACGGCTTGTGTTTATATTTCAGCTCTCCACTGTGTTACTCTGGGAAAATTACTTCAATTCCTTCTACCTCAGTTTCCTCATCTGTAAAGTTTTTAGAACACTGACTGAAACTAGTAAGCAACTGTGGAACAAATAACTGGATTTGACCATTTATCTCTGGTTTCTGAAAACAGCCCTTGAAATAGCCAGAGGCATAGTGGTTAAGGGCTCAGCTGCTAATCAAAAGGTTGGCAGTTCGATTCCTCAGCTGCTCTTAGAAACCCTATGGGGCAGTTCTGCGCTGTCCTCTAGGGTTGCTATGAGTCGGAATCGATTCGATAGCAGTGGTTTTTTTGGGTTTTGTTTTCTAAAGTAAGCAGCCAGCATTTAAACGTGTGAATAAGTAGGAGGCTACACAGACCACACTCTGACAACAGGCCTCAGGAAGGGAAGGGGCGTGATACAGTCAGTCATGCATATTCATTGATGCTGGTACATAACTATCCATTAAAGCCCCATGATGCACTCACTAGATTGGTGAGGACATCCTTGAACTGAAGAGGGTGGCATGTCCCTGGAGACAGTGGAGACCCTGTGCCAGGAACTCTCCCAGACCTTGCTTGATGTGTCTCTTCACTTGTATCCTTTCTGGTTATAATAAATGGTAATTATAAGTATAGGTAATGTTGTGTGCTGTCAAGTCAATTCCGACTCATAGTGACCTTATAGGACAGAGTAGAACTGCCCCATAGGGTGTCCTGGGCTGAAATCTTTACAGGAGCAGATCACCAAGTCTTTTCTCCTGTGGGGCCTATGCTGAGTTCCAACTGTTGACATTTCTGTTAGCAGCCAAACGCTTAAGCAGTACACCACCAGGTCTCCTTAAGTACAATAAAAAATCAAACTAAATCCTTTGCCATCGAGTCCATTCTGACTCATAGTGACCTTATAGGACAAAGTAGAACTGCCCAATAGGATTTCCAAGGCTGTAATAGACCCAAGGTCACACTGATACTAAGTGGTAGAACTTGGATTAGAAAATCCAGGCAGTCTGGTACCATCAGAGTCCATGCTCTTAAATACTATGCTATACTGCCTCTAAAAAATAAGAGTTTTTAAACATTGCCCCAATATTCACATTATTCTAAGTACATCTTTTTTTTCCTTGCTCATTTATTCAATGAGACATTTATATTCCATATGTTTTTCTTTTAACTAGCTGTCATGGATGCATTGGTGGAAGATGATATCTGCATTCTGAATCATGAAAAAGCCCATAGGAGAGAAACAGTGACTCCTGTCTCAGTGTATTCAGGAGATGAGTCTGTTGCTTCCCATTTTGCCCTTGTTACTGCATATGAAGACATCAAAAAACGACTTAAGGATTCAGAGAAAGAGAACTCTTTGTTAAAGAAAAGAATAAGATTTTTGGAAGAAAAGGTAATTACCTTTTACTGTCATTATATTTTATGAGATAAAGGATGATTCAAAATATTTGAAATTTTAAATATTTTTCTATCCTCTTTTCCATGATTATACTAAATTTCCAAGCATTTTTCACTGCTAATGTCAAAACCTTGGGCATCGTATTTAGTCACAGTGTCATTCACGTACCATGTGATTGGTGAATGTTTGTGGAATAAATAACTTGGTATATTCCAAATATTTTCCTTTCTCCTTTTTTCAGATCCCCTTACATTCATAGCTGTATGTATTATATCCAGAATTTAAAAATCTGTGCAAAAGTAAATGACATACCAGCAGAGGAAATTAAGAGTCAAAGGAGGAAGCGTCTCTGAATATTGTTCTAATAATGTTTAATAATGTTTTCTTCACCAAGATTGAAATTTCACCAGGACTTTTATCTTCTTTACCTCAACATTTTCTTTTGCTGTTGAACACACATATGAATGCTGCTTTTAACTGATAAATTAATGTCCTGTTTACCTTTTTATGCAGAAACTTGACATTCCTAAACGTTTTAGAGTGTATAAACAAGGTTTTGTGTGCTACTGAGTCGAATTTTGACTAATAGCGACCCCATGTGACAGAGTAGAACTGCTCCATAGGGTTTTCTAGACTGTATTTTTTTTTTTTTAATTGTACTTCAAGTGAAGGCTTACAGAACAAATAGTTTCTCATGAAACAGTAGTACACATGTTGTTTTATGACATTGGTTAACAACCCCACAACATATT